TTAACCCTCGACTGAAGAGTTTAAAGTAAGGATATACTATTCTAGCTTGCCCGGGACAACTTTGAGAACATCAAAGTACGGAATCTTCTCTACCACAATAATGTTATCATTGACTTTCAAAATATGCTCAGCTTCAAATGATAGTAGTATCTGTATATAAAAGTGCTATTTTGCGCTAATGTTTTGATTAAATGAAATCTGACAAAGTTGTGTGTCGAAAATTCTGATTTGTATATCGTAGGAGTTACAACAATATCTTGAAATGCTCTGAGATTTGTAATATGAAAACAATGTGTCTTGCAATAAAAACTTATTGAGAAGATGAAACAGCGACCACACATATCGTAGCATTAGTTGATAAAACCATTTACTGGCACAAGTATTATTCTAATTAACAATAGTAATGAACTGAAAGAAGTTGCTTTCAATTGTCAGAATCGGATATGTCTCTCCTAGACTTGTTCGGATGTCTCTCAGTCAGAACACATTTATACCAAAATATTAGCAGGAAAAGTGCTTAAAGCGAAACATGATTTCATTGTTGAATTTATGGGCCATCCTAATCACTTGGTACCATAAAATGATTTAATTAAGAGTATGAGATAGTATTGTAGCGAAGTGTGTTTATTCGTGAAATTCGATAAATAATCATGAGTTACAAAGATATTAGATTTATAATGAAAAAAGGAATATGTGATGAATACATAGCACAAAAGTAGTACCTGGATATTTCGCATATCATTTCATATGATAATAAAAAAGAGACTACTGCTAATACATGCAATACGAACAATGAAAAATATTCAAATGTATTGATCATAGAGTAAGTAATATAGGAAAGAAAATCATATACATAAAAATTGACACAAACGAGAGCAGTTTTCATGCAAAGCAGAAACGGTGTTACAACCATTCTGGAAAACGCGCTTGGGTTTCTAAATATAGTTTATCGAGTCGTTCAATTTCTGCCAGCTGTGACTTGCTGGGTTTAATTAACAACACCTTGTAATCGAAATATCGCAAAATAACCAAATCAGTCAAACGTTTTACCCGCGACAAGGGTACATAAACTGCAGCAATATCATCAGTTTCATTTGGCAGCTTTAAATCAATTACAACTTTATTCAAGGTTTGACCTTGACTCTTGTGGGTTGTAATGCAATAAGCTGGTACAAGTGGTAATGCGCGCCGTTTAATGGATAAAACTGCTTTTCCATTTGATTTTGGCTTCTTATCTTTTGGAAGAATATCACCTATATCGACTCGAAACGTTTGTTCCATTACCGGTATTGGAATCAGCTTTGGCTGAAGTTGTTCTAAATTGCATTCGATCTTTGATTTGGTAATTTCCACCAAGGCGTATAAAGGTCGATGGACATACCGTGCATTCTTGGAAAATTCTTCCGAAATAATATCAGTTGACACTGAATCTTCCTGATAGACAAGTTGCCGAAAGATTCCGTTCACACCATTGATAAGCCCCAATTCAATGGCAATATTTTGCGTTAAAATCACAGGCATTCCAGGAACAAGAGGCAATAGACCTGGTAGATGCTCCGTTTTGCTATCAGATAATTCTAATAATTTTTTAATAAGTGCTCGATCTTCAATTGGTTTGCCTTTGCAGGCGTCTTGGGCAACGCATACTATAGGTGCTTGTCCGATTTGTTCTGCTTTGTGACTAACTGCCTTGTGGTTTAATTGTGTTCGTACTTCATTACGAAATACGAGAATCGGAGCCTAAAAAGATGAAGATGGTGAATTGTCTAAAGCCAGAAAAACAAATTTACTTTATTCCATGGTGTGTTACTTAACAAGGGTACAGAAGATTGCCCCACTACTCGTGTTAACAATAATTCGTAGTCATCGTAGTTACATTCTCCGCGACGAAGCCGTTCGAGCAGCTGAAGGTAACGTGGATCCTCTGTTCTCATCTGTTGAGTAAGTTTGACCACACAGTTGATTTGGAGAATCAAAGAACGTGCAACACGTTGTTGAATTTGTTTTTCAGTTGCTATCTTGTTTGATTTACTTTTAACCGGTAAAGTGAAGTCTGTATGTAGGGGTACATCATATACAGGTCGATATTGTAAATAATCGCCGAAGAAGATGACATTTACACCACCAAATGGAACTTGAGGATCAGTATGTTTTGCAGCACATATAATTCGGTTGAGTTTCGCAAGTAGAGTTAAACCAACCATACTTATTTCGTCAATTAAGAGGTATTCAACGAGGGCCCATTCTTTCTCAAGTTTTAAATCGCCTGGTTTAATCGTACGGGCTTTTCCTGAGTTACGCTGTTCACCCAAAAATGAATGGATGGTCATACCATCGATTTCAGCAGCGGCAATACCAGTAGGTGCTAACTTCCGCATCATTTGTATTCTTTTTGTAACTAAAAAGTATTTGGTAAGGGCACGAATCAATTGCGATTTTCCTGTGCCGCCACATCCAGGTATGCACATTATAAGCTGACCATTATTGTCACCTGAAAATATAATGTACTTCAATATGTGACGACTACTTTTATAAAGATTACCTGTATGACAACGGCTATCACCATCAAGATGACCTGCTATGATCATAAATGCAGCCCGTTGTTCTCTGTTCAGTGTAAATTCATCGGCAACACTCTTCTGAGTACAAGAGTTCGTTTTCACTGATATTACTGGAGGAATCGAGCCATAGTTTTCGTATGTCTTCGTATTAATATTGTTTAGAGTCACTACAGTGGCAACAGCACTTCTTGCAGTATCCAAATTCAACATATCATCATCGTCTTTGTCAAAGTTGCCCGTAATCAAACCTCTTCTAATCTGTTCTTTCTCAGTTTTCAGCTGTTCTTGCCACTTTGTATTTAATCGAACAAGATTAGGTGTTGCAGAAATGAATGGTACCAATGATTGATCGATACGATCGCTCGGTTCATTTAAAGAATATTGGTCATATGCTGCAACAATTTTTTTACGATTACTGTCGAACCTATAGATCACATTCAAATAATACTTACTGTTCACACTGTTAAATCTTCCGACATTCTTGACTGCTTCGATTGTTTCTTCAATATATTTGTTTTCTGTTGAGTTTTTTGTAGCATTGAACATAGCAACTGTGTTTTCATCCAAATTACCTAATAATTCAAGTAAATCGTCACTATCATCAGTGCCATATTCACCATCGACTTGATTAGTCGGTATCAGTACAGGATCGACTAAGCCATTGTCGATTTGTACTTCGGCGATAACTTGAAGTAAATGATCATCGCGGTCCTTTTTACATTCATGCAAAAGTTGAATGTTTTCTATTATTGTCCACGAATTACTCAAAATAAGATGTTGTCGAGATTTAAATGCATCTTCCCATGTCTGACTGATGTCACAAATATCAGCCACAGTACGCCAGGGCACGAAAAGTGTGAGAATAGCCCGACAATATCGTTCTCGAGTATCATCACGATCTTGTCGAGGTATCTGAGGCCCATAGAGAACAGGCACATGAGATTCACTGTACTTCATCATTAAATATGCTGTAGCCTGAGGATGCTGTTTTTGAAAAAGAAATCGTTCATTAGGTGGTCGACCCTTTTGGGTAATTTTTTCTTCTATTGATCCCGCTATCTTTGATAAATATTTCAGATCTGTAGTATTCATT